AGCTATATGATGTTACCAATCTACCGGCTTTTTCGAAGTATTATCGCGTTTTTTAACTCCCAGATCTTTTTGTGCAGTTACGCACGAAAGCATGACACATTTGCTAAACCTAGGATCTTTCGTCCTGTTCACAGGAAGGCGATCAATGTGTATCTGCTTTTGAAATATCAAAAGCCAACCTGCTTTCTCAAACCTGTGAGATTTTGCTCTTTCTTTTTTGCTTAGATTAAAAGCGCCACAGAAGCGCGCTATGAAGATCCCCGACTTGTGCATCCACGAGATGAGCGCGAATTGCGCGTAAAAGCAATCGCCGCCGCATTTTCCGTTTGTGATTTATCGGCTGCAGCATAACATGCTTCGAATAAAGATAGAGAGAACTTCCAGAAAAAAAGGAGACTTGCGCTTTGGCATAAAAATTTTGGAAAACGAACTTGGACTGGATTTGCTTGCGGGGAAGTTCGAACGGTGCTATCTCTGTGTCCGCGGCCCAAAATTTCAAAGTCGCGAATTTGGCTGAAATTCGGTCGAGGAATCACAAATATTACGTTCTTTTTTCACAAAAACTCCATTGGTCTAAGTGGTTTTCTGAGGTGCTGATCACGAATACCATATTCTTTCTGCATTCTGCAGCGGGCTTAGTCTTCCATAATCTTTCGAACCAACGTACGCCGGGCCCTGCGTTTTGGCACGAAGGATGAGGGGGACGCTGTGAGCATACTGAGTGGAAGTACATTGAAGGTAGAGGAAGATACTGTGACTTTTTTAAGTAAGCTTTTGCGAAAAGGGTGTTTTGAAACGGGACAGCTCCTTGAATAACGAAGAAAGAGTGGACATCTTCACTGTGGAGTTTTAGAGGGAAAAACTTGGTGCATTTTGGCTAAGAAAATGGGAAAAACTGATGTTTTAAGGCAAGAGTGATGAGGAAATTAGGCTCTTCTAATGGGAAACGATCTTTTCGCACGGGCGGTCTCCAGCGCTATCCTGATTTTTACTTGTCTTAACACATCACGCACGCCGCGAATCTTTCTTCCCCCTGTTTTGCTTAGGCAAAAGCCGCCGCAGGGTGTTCCGCGCGCGACAGTGGTGTGTGGAAAGGAGTAGGACGCGAATCGCGTTCTCACCCTCCTCTAATGATTTGACGGAAAAAGCCGCTAACGCTTTGAGAAAATTCTAAACCGAAAGGAACATACAATACATCAGCTAAGAAAAGCCACAGAAAGGAGAGCTACGGGAAGCATGCTGTACGAGAAGAAGAAACATTACTCGTTTCTCTAATGCGAGGGTGAGTCTAGAGAAAAAGCGCAAAGTGTAAGGTGTGCATTTCTATTTTGGAGAATGAGCTTCACTCAACGCGACATCTTTCTTGACTCCAAACGTTCTTCTGCAAGCTGTCGTACTTTCGTCATTAGAACTATATGCGCACCATGCCTTTCCAGCAGATTTCAAGCAAACATCACTAGACGAGTTTATTAGCTTTCATGGCATTGTGTAATACGAGGCTATGGTGACTCAATACAACATTTCTCACACCTGCTCGCCATTGGGCCGCTAGTAACTTCAAGTCACAGACACAAAAACGACCAATAATCAATTTGCGGGATGCTCTACCATTGCCAAACGCGACCTGAAGTCTTGATTAATGAAGATGCGGAGCGTTGCAAATATTATGATTTTGCCACTCTTGCGGTTTAAACCACACAGCCTTCCCACCACAATTCTACGTTTTCTCACAATCTTGCTACAAAGCCTAAATTCGATGTAGTGTCCAAGCACGAGTACTGCAGACACAAATTCATATCAAAACTTCGAGTTTGAAGCAGTTTCTTTTTCTGCTGTCTGTAAGGCCGGAACATTGTATTTCTTTGTGCGGCCTTAACCCATTATCATAAATTCCCATGTCACAATTCCGGGGCGTGACCGGAGAAAGTCCTGATGTTGGCGCGATGTTGCAACCTTAGTTTCTTTACGTTACGGGGTTAGCGCATCATAAATAACCAGCCAGGATTCTAGCCCTGTTGAAACGCCGCCAACATAGCTGAAACTACACCACCTCCCAACAACCATTTATTCCCGACTCAGATTACACATACACACACACACACCCATAAATCATCCCCGCGCTAAGGCCTTGCATCATTGACAGGATCAATCAAGATAATGAAATTGGGCGGATGACATATCGGGTGAAAAGGAAAGTATCACCCATAGGAACAAAGAGGTTACTAGGTTAACTAGCGGGCCTCCGGAGAGGAGGCCCTCAGAGGAAAGATGAGGGAATATAAAATGGCAATTAAAAGCAAAACTTATACAATACTACTACTTTACAACGAATTCTGTGATGCTTATATAGTGCTTTACAGACCGGGCGCTGCAAGTTCTTTTACTCCTCTTCTCCAGATTTCCTTTCTGTCGTCCGCCATCAATTGTCCAACAAGGCATGAGTGGTACCATTAATTCTTCTAACAAAGGCATGAGTAATCTCTAGGAGCCACTTCTTCCTTCCTTCCAGTCCCATTGGTACTACGACTTCCAAGAAGCAGTTCGTTTTTCCTCCTTTACAGTCAGGCGCATGATCGAGGCTTCCAAGTACGATCAAAAGCGTTTCGTGCATAATCGAAAGTTTCCTTACATCCGCGAGGTATTGAAAGGTTGCGTCCCGCAACCTCCATTCTCGTCACCAGTAAAATATGTTGGCTCTAAAGATATCAGTCGAAGAATTTCTGAGCGTTTGCTTCCGGCCTTGTCTTCCCTCGGCTATTTTCCTCACGAATATCATACATCTACTTTCTATTTGCGCGCGCATTCGTATCATCTAATATCTCCATCTATAACCATACAACGTCTTGTGCGGACTCGCGTCGCGAGGTCAAATGGAATGGTTGCGCAGCCGAGTATCTTCGACGCGATTCTTCATCTGCAATTTCAAATTTAAGTGCCATTTGCCTCCTGTGGGTTTCCTTAGTATCCGCACTCATGGATACATCGCGCAACCATTTTCTTGTTATAGATGACCGCGGTTTTCGTAATTCCATAACTTCTGTCGGCCGATACCCTAGAAGATAATGTAGAATCCATTAAATAACTGCCATCTATGTAACTAAGGATCCGATAATCGCGTTTGTCGTCGCCGAGAAATTCTTGTCATGGAGGTCTCCATGGCAAGTGAGTTGAGAAGCTGCCGTTTGTTTTCAATTTCCATGCCTTAATCGAAAGTCAGGTAGGGGTTTGTATTCCATTGACTTGAGTTTTGTGTCATATGTCCTGAGTAAATTCCTTAGTTGGTAGCGCATCATAGGGGGGATCTGGGAAAAGGAAAACAATGCAACTACAATAAAATTTATCAGGAGTAAGGGTTACATAGTTATACAAATACAACAGGTTATCACAAAGAAGGGTTAAATGGTTGTTGGGGCCCTATCTTTTTTCCCCTCTTTTCTTCCTTATTTGGTGTCTTCGGTGTTGTCCACATCTCTATGTAGTTTGGTGCGATCGACGTGAATGACTCTTTCGCGTTTTCCATCAAAGGTGGTGATGTTGGGTAGTTCCATGTCAATGAATGGAAAGGGTCCCTCGAATCTCGTTACAAGCTTATGCACACCGTCCTTCCTTATCCTAACCTTCTTCCCGATCTGATAATCCTTTTTCACCGGCTTCTTCCTCAAGTCATAGTGATGTTTTTGTCGTTTCTGAGCTTCTACGAGATTTCCGTAAACCTGCTGATAAATGGCTTTCAAGGTATTGGTGAGATACTGAGATGGTTCACATAATCGTTAGGGTCGGCGTACTTCTTTGTTGACAACTGCAATGCAAGGTGAAAGATATTAGTAGGTTCCCGTCCGTGCATAAGGAAGAAGGGTGAAAATTTCGTCGACGCATTCTCCATGCTATTACAGGCGAGTACTATGAGATAGAGAGCGTGATCCCATTCATCATTGCGTTGGCGCGTGGCAATCGCAATTTGTTCTTCCAAAGTCCGATTGACGCGTTCGACCTGTCCGTTTGATTGATGGTGATACCGTGTACTCGTGTGGTGGTTGACATGTAGACTGCGCAAAAGGTTGCGAAACATTTCACTCATATAGTTTGTTCCTTGGTCCGTCACGAGAGTTTCCGGTAGTCCGAATCTGGCTACGAAGCGAGCGATAAATATGCGAGCTGTAGTGTCGGCCTTCTGGTCAGGTATTGGTTCCGCTACTATATACTTGGAAAACGAGTCTATGAAAACAATTATATACTTGTTTCCATCCAACGTCAGCGGAAGAGGGCCGATTATATCAGAATGTACTCGTTGCCATGGTTTCGTGGATACTTCTAGAAAGTGGAGTGGTTCTCTCGTCTTATAAGCCGTAGGGTCCTTCCTTGCTTGACAGAGTTGGCATGCGCCGATGAATTGTGCGATATCTTTCCGCATGCAATTTCAGATAGCAATCTTCTCAACAGCTGCGTGGTCTTGTTAATTCCTAAGTGTGCTGACGCCATTTGTGATTGATGTGCCAAGGCGATAATGTCCTGTTTGATGCGAGATGTTTTCGGTAAGACTAGTTGTGGGTCTTGATAAAAGCGATTTGGTAGTCTATAAAGGATGTTGTTTATGAGGAGGTAGTTAGATAGTTCCGTCGTTTCCTCATTGTTTGCTAACATTGCCTTCAATCTCGCGATCCATTCACACTCATCTTGCTCCTGACGTACAGTGTCCAGTTGCAGGTTATCCATGGTGACACTTGTAATGGCATTCGTTGGTAAATGTCGAGATAGCGCATCGCAGACAGCATTCTTCTTCCCCGGTCGGTATATGATGGTAACGTCGAACTCCTGAAGCACGATCTGATACTTGGCTAGCCTTCCGGTAAGATCCTTTCGATGCAGCAACGCCTTGAGAGGTGTATGATCGGTAATGATCGTGCACTTCGCTCCGTCAATATACGGTCGGAATTTTTGTACTGCAAAAACCAATCCTAATGCTTCGAGCTCGATTGCTGGGTATCTTGCTTCGTGTTTGCTCAAAGTGCGACTTGCATAGGCAATGACTCGTTCCAGGCCTTCTGTTCTTGTTTAAGAACTCCCGCGATACCTTTTGCCGAACTATCCGTTTCTATAATAAAAGGCTTCCCCAATCGTGGTGCTGCGAGAATAGGTGCGGATGTCAATGCTTCCTTCAAGCGATTCATGGCTTCCTCGCACTGTGGTGTCCACTCAAAAGGGGTATTCTTCTTTGTCAATGCGATGAGTGCTGCAATGGCTGCGAAGTTGTGCACAAATCTTCGGAAAAACGAGCACATTCCTAAAAAGGATTTGACGTCTGTCGGGTTAGTCGGCTGCGGGTAGTCGTCGATGGCTTTAGTTTTATCCGGGTTGGGCCTTATTCCTTCTTTGCTTAAGATGAATCCCAGAAACTTGATCTCTTCCTTTGCAAATTCGCATTTCGACGCCTTCAGCTTCATGCCAATTATTTCGATCTTCCCCAATACTTCATCGATATCTGCCAAGTGTTCTTCTGGGGTTTCAGAGGTTATGATAAGGTCATCGATATAAATGAAGACTCTTGCGCGTATGTACTTTTTGAAGTCGTCCATTATTCTCTGAAACGTGGCTGGTGCTCCTTTGAGTCCCATTGGCATCCGAATATACTCAAATGCTCCCAGAAAACATGCGAATGCAGTCCTCTCGCAATGTTCCTCTTCCAGTGGTATTTGATGAAATCCTTGCTGGAAATCAAGGGACGAATAAAGGCACTGATTAGCACACAAATCAATAATGTCCTGAATATTAGGCAAAATTGATTGCTGTGGCTTCGTGATAGCATTAAGTCCTCGAAAATCGATGGTGAATCTCCAGGCATTTGCTTCTCGCTTTTTCACCAAAACAATTGGAGCACAGAATGGTGATGTTGATTCTCTGATTATACCGTCTTCTAGCAAGATGTCCATCCGGTCCTACAAAGGCGTTAGTGTGGCATCTAATGATGTCTCGTAGTTGATCTTTCTGATCATCTGTCAAACTGATGTCATAATTAGGAGGATTTGGTGTGATAGGGAATCTAGGCAATCTGGACTCCCAATCTGCTTCTGGCGGAATATGCTCGTAGTTACCATGCTCGTTCAGAGGCAGTTCACTAACGTATGCAACAGTGGTAGCGACTGACTTATGTACGTTGTCTTCTGATGACTCCATCGAGTGTTGGACTTGTGGACATTCCAGCGGTTGAACTAGCACTTCCGATTCACACGCTGGGTGTGCCCAGGCCACCTTGAGTTGCTGGGGAGTATGATGTTGGTCATAGAGGGGTTAAGGATGTTAACGTAGCAAACTCCGTCTAAGCCTGGTGTAACGAGGGCTCGTCCAATGACAAAAATGTCATCCATTGGTCGGAGATTATCCTCAATGTAGAAATCCTTACATCTGGGCCATGTTAGTCTTTCGATGTAGGCTTCCAGGACGTTGTTAGTTCGTGGGGGTAGAAATGTGTCCTTAGCGAGTCGCACGACGTATGGTGGTATGGCCAATGTAATATAGCTGACTGGCGCGAGATTGATTGTTCCGGGCCTATACGTATGGCATTGTTGTAGAGGTCGAGCGAGACCAAGAGCCCGTTTGCATTCAATGCCTGAATGAAGTCGGATCCTAGCAGGAGTGGAGCTGGGCAATCCTTCTCGTTTGATACGTAAAAACAATGCATGATAGTGTGTGTGCCTACTCGGAGGGGCAAGGAGAGTGCGCCCACTAGTTGTATCATGGTGCCATTCGCAGTTGTCGCCATCTTTGATGTCCCCGTGAGCTGTTTCGGGTTTCCTATCATTAATAGTGTAGACATCCTCATATATGATATGGCTGCACCGCTATCCAATAGTGCTGTCACAGAGATGTTCCCAATCTTGACTTCCAAGTAGGGTAGATGTAACTTCCGTGATTCCACCTCGACTGCATAGATACGTGGTACGAAGAGTTGCCCCTGTTAGTCCTCTTCCTGCGGTAGTTCCACCATTAACATATTTACTGCACGTGGTCTTCGACTCCTTCGCTTGGGGGTGAAGTTCCCTGCCATACTGAACATAGCTGATGCGGCAGTTGATGTTGCTCGTCCGAGGAAGAAAAGCTTTGCGTAAATAACGCAAGCTGTTACGCAAAGGAAGATGACCGTGGCTGGTATGGCAATCCATAGTATCGTATATAGAATCGACCATTTGATATCTTCCACACCTTCCGAGAGCTTTTGCGTTGTCGACTCATGTAGCGACAACAAGGACTGGCCTACGGACATGCTGGTATTGCGTATCCGTGAAACGGTTTCCTTAATGATTCCTCGCTTCTGAAGTCGTACAGCCATGTTCAGTTGCTCCTCCTTCAGCACTTCCATATATGGGATAGCTGATAATGCGTGGTTGTCGAGGATGCGATAAAATATAGGTGAACTATCGAAGAGGAAAGGTCTTGCGTGATTATTGACGACGGTGTTTGGCAGTAAGAGACTTCGCGTCATGTTGGCACGTTTAGGAGATGGATAAGGACATGGAACCGTACCGGAAGATTGTATTAAATCCTGTGTTCCAGGTACATTGAACCAAAGGTCGTAATTGATCCTTACTGGCATCAAAGTGTAGCATGTTCCATCGAATGTGTGATTAACATAGATGAATGTTGGTGTGACGTGACGACATTTTGTAATCAACAGATTATCGGCAATCCGGATGGCAGCGATATCACTTCTTCCTAGTAAGATTCTGGCGGCCAAGGTGGCGTCCACTGAGCTCAGGAGACGTATCCTTTGTGACTCCAAGAATCTTCGTACACAGATGTTATTGAAGTGACGTCGTGCCACAAAATTCCTTGTTGGGACATTTTCTGTTGCCAGGGGTTGTGTGGGCACAGAAAATGTCGGAGGGGTTTTAGTGAAGGTTGTAGTTTCTGCTGTTGTTGAAACTTCACGGTACTCCCTTGTCATCGTTTGTAGTATTGGTGATAAGACGGCGCTCATTACAGGAACAGTCCAAACTATAGGTACGAATCTTGTGGTTCTCATCAGTATTTCTTGTGGTTTGGGTGTTGGTGTTGGAGTTTGTAGTTGTATTGTGGTAGTAGCAGTAGACGTCGTAGGGAGTGCACTTAATGATGCAGGGTATAGTGGTTGTAAAGTAGGGAGAGGCGTATGATAGTACACCTCCATTTCTGTAGTCGTTACTGGCTGAGACGTTATAACTTCCACAGTAGGTGTAGTAGATAATGTAAGAGAAGTTCTTTGCGTTGAAGGCATCGTTGTCGGACTGTCGGTTACCGTTGAGATTTTCCTTGCTGTTGTTGTCGTCACTGTTGGCGTACTCATCGACGTTGTTGAAGGTGCGGTTGTTGGAGTCATGAGTGTTGTTGTAGATGAAGTTGTCGATGTCATCGTTGATGTCGTTGTTGTCGATGGTGTTGTTGATGATAGCGCTGATGTTGTTGTTGTTAACATAAGTGCTGTGGAGTTCTTCATGTCGGCTATAGTGGGTATAATGGTTGTCCTTTGTATGTCTCTTGTCGTCGTCGTCATCGGCTTGGTAATGTTGATTTATGGGGCTATCAGCTTCCAGTCTTGATTGGTTAAATCAGGCACATTGTATTCGGCTTTCCCAAACTCTTCGTTAAGGTATTCATCGAAGATTGTGAAGATCCCAATTTCCAGATCCCGCCGGGTCTCGAGTTGTGCGTAGTTCAATGGCACGACCTTCTCCGATTGCTTGAACAAGCTTAGCTGCTTCATACGGTATTCACCGTATCTGATGGTCCGTAGTACAATGTGGCGCGGATCGTCGATTTTGTAGAGTCGGGCTGTTCTTGAAAGGTCGTTGTTACTGATATTCCATCGTTGCAATTCTGTGAGTATCTTATTCCATGTTACTGGGCGTGTATTGAAAGCTGGAATCCTTTTCAGTTTCTTTACATCAAATAGTCGTTTAATCAACAAGATGAGTTCCGCTGCCACAATCTCGGGGTAGGTATTTCCTTGTTTGTCCGTATGGCATCGAATAGCACGCTTTGACCTCCTTCTTCTATAGGCGCTTTGACCTTCTTCTTCGTAAGACATAATCTTGGATTGTGAGGTCCTGGGGAATATAGGGAAAGGCAATAATGTGATTTGATGTCGTCAAGTAGTTGTTACCTAATCGGCAAAATTCGGTAAGCTGGTCATGTAGAAGAGTATCTTCGGAGAACTGGAAGGTAAGGTCTGGATGAGGTAGGACGATATACTTCAGAGTAACGAAGGCTTCGAAGGTTCCCACATGTCTGTATCTGCATGACGGTGTAATTTCAGCTGGTTCCCAGACAATTGTGTATTCCCGCGAGGGACAGACTCCTTGTGAATATGAACAATTTGCCGTATCGCCCAAGGAGCTAATTATATGGTGACCATCGAAGGTAGCCATTTGTCCTTCTTCGACCGTGTATACACTACGTAAATAATTCCTCGTACCCCATAGTGGTATCGTCACGTCATCGTCTTCTATCTCCTTGGTGGTCCATAGTCCATCGCCCTGCGCAAACAGCTCATGTCCATGTATCTTCCCAGTTATACGAGCCATCTCACAGGCTTTCTGGGGTATTGATAGACGACGGCGTCGTAGGATAGTCGTGGTTGTTCGAATTCGGAAGAAACTGCTTACAGATACCTCAATAGCGTCCCTGTAACATTTGGTAGCATTTTGCCAGGATGGATTGGGATTATCCGCGAATAGATGTGCTGTTGTTCGCAACATCGGGGCATTCGCCAGAGTTAAGCAGTCGATGGCTTGCGGGAGTGAGAAGATGTTCGAGTAAGGATTTATACCACATATCTGGTACTCCGCATGTGCAAAAGTGCTGCAGATTAATGTCATGATGCAGAGAAGGTGTACTCCTGGAGCAGTGCTCATAGCTCTTGCAGAACTGGTGGTTGGTTGTACAGATGTTGGGTTACCGTATGCAAGAGGGACATTCTGTGCATAGCATGGGGGTGTGCCACAAGTATACGTCCTCATCCTCGGTCCGTATCCGTTATGCATCGTAGTCGTGTTGGTGTATGGTACGCGGTTTGTAGACGGGAATGGACGTTGACGGAAGAAGGGACGTCTGGGGTAAAATCCACGCTGGTTAATAAAAGATCTTGGCGCAAATTTCGTTATCCTCTGTCCTTGCCTATACTTGTTGTGCGAGATATTTGGTTTCCTTAGTGAAGTTGCTTTCATCCGACTTAACTCTTGTTCGAGGCGATTAATCTTTTCATCAGTAAGAAGTGCATTGACCGCTTGAAGAGTCTCCCTGTCCTTGTTCCTCTCCTGTTCCAGAATCCGATGTTCCTTCTCCGCTCTGCATACTATGGCTTCAAATTCGTCCGTATCGGGGAGTCTCCTAATAGCTTTCCTGATCTCCGGGTTCAGACCTTTAAGAAAAAAAATCAATAGCCATACGTGTCACAACCTTTTCTCCTTGTCCTTGAAATGCGATTTTTGTCTTATTATAGATCTTCTTCGCGAACTCTCCGACGGTGTCCTTTCCTTGAGTCATATGATGTAGCTCGTCACGAATATTATTACTGAGAAGCGAATCGTTCTTTAGTCTCGTGGCCAGTTCCGTTACTAGATCTTTCCATTTCATCTTGTCATGGTTAGGGATCTGCTGGTACTTGAATTTCGCTCCTCCCGATAAAAACAACGGAAGCAGCTTCTTCGCTACCCCATGGGAAATAGCAAAACGTTTCACGATGTCCTTGTATTCATCCAAAAACTCTTCGAAGGTTTTGTCCTCATTACCGGAGAATTTATCCAGTCGGCTTCCCAGGATCTTGGAGGCTTGGTATACTTGTTTCGGAATCAGCTCCTCAGATTCCTCGGAATCATCCACGTCCTCCGGCATATTTGTTCTTAAATGAATCCTTGCGAGTGATTGTTCTCTTAACTGATCTCTGCGCAACCGCCGT